TATGCATATTGTTTATAACTTTGATAAAACGCTTATAGATAAGTATAAAAATATTTTAACAATAATCCATATCCTAAAATTAATTGGAATTTTTTTATTTTTTATTCGGCAAAATAAAAATAAACAAAACAATGGCCTTAGGAAGCCTTGAACCCAGGACCAACCGAAGCAAACTTGCACGCGCTAATCAACTTGCTAGTAGAGAGGTTCAATAGCACTAGACAACACACACAAGTTATACCTTCTAAACCCTACCGCCAAAGACTATGGCGGTAGGGTATTTTCAACATCAAACGAATGTGACGGCATAGTCAAGTACTATCGCCACAACCCTTGACGGTAGGCTGTGTTACCCTACTGTTAAGGACGATGGCGGTAGGAAAATGATCAGATGACGATTTTTTCTCGAACCGGGGTCAAATCATGCTGAAGTTTAAAAAAAAGGTCAAATCAGTGAATTCAGCCGCACATGTACACTACTCCTACAACAGTGGCGGTATTCTAAAACAGTGGTGGTATTTATTTTTAAAAGGACGCATATAAAGATGTATGCACCCCCCATAAATTTGTTTGCAGATTAAGAAAATGATATGTGCAGTACTGTTGAAAGTTGAAAGTACTACGGATTTACTCGGACCCGTATAAGCATACAGTGTGGGGCAATATTTACAGTGGTTCTTTTGTGCAGAAGAAACGGAATACGTACGTCCCAGGCGCCGACACACTAGCTAGCGGGCGCCGACGGTGACGGGGTTGCAGACGAACACCGGCCAATCCGCGTACTTGCCCGCGGGCGCGGCGAGGAGGAGGTAGCCATTGCAGGCGTTGACGGGGCTGTAGGGGACGGCTAGATCCGTGATGCGGTCCATGGCTTTGCCGTGGTGGAGTTGAGAGGACGACCATGTCCAGGCCGATGCCCCTGACGCGGATCTCCAACACGCCCGTGGTGGACACAACGTGGGCGGCATGCCTGTGGAGGTAGACAAAGGACGGGTTGGTGAGGACGCGACGCCACTGCCACGAGACGCAGCGGCCTCGGGCCACGTCTCTCGTCGGAAACTAAAAGCCAGACTTAAACCAATTAAAATTTTGTGAAGATGGTTTCATGAAGATGGTAGATGGAAGAACGAGGAAACTAAAGCCAGACTTAAACCAATTAAAATTTCCAGCAACCATCACACTTAAACTATAACTAAAGTCAAACTATTATTTACATCGGTCACATAAATATTTCCATATTCATGAGTCCTCCTTCTCCACATGCATGAGTTGCGATGCCTCGGCAAGTTCATCTCTACCGAGTTCGGTGCTGAGTTTCCCTCTGAGTAACTTCGCATCTAGCAACTATCCCAACTCTTCTCACCGTCTCAAAATGTAGGTTCCATCCTTCGTTAGCGAAGCCTCGCTCACGCCGCTGCCCGCTGCTAGCCGTCCCAGGTCGATGAATTGTGGCTTTGGAGAACATGAAACACTTGTTGCTCGAACCATTCTTCTTCTTGTTGCCCTCAGAAGCCATGCTACGAGATGTTTTTCCTCTCAAATTCCTAGGAATTGCCCCACACTTCGCGAAGGGCTCGAGACGGGGTCTACAACAAGCGCCACTCTTTAAAAATATCAAAAATATTTACTTTACCGTTTATCTATCTCTATCAGATCTCAATAACCATGAAGGGATTGACAACCCCTTTATCGCATTGGATGCAAGTTGTTGATTGTTCGTGCAGGTATTCGGCGACTTGTGCTTTATCTCCTACTAGATTGATATCTTAGTTCTCAAACTGAGGAAAATACTTATCTGTACTTTGCTACATCACCCTTTTCTTTTCAAGAAAAAAATCAATGCAAGCTCAAGAAGTAGCAGTTAGTCCCAAAAAATGATATAAAGCTGCTATAAAATGATTGTAAAACATCTAAGAATGAAAATATAACATCATGAAAGAATCAAAAAATATAGATACGTTGGAGACGTATCAACAACCCACTCGACGTGTGAGCGAGATGACGACCCTGCCGGCCTGCTCCCTCCCGTGCGCCTCCCTAGTCTGCAGGCGATGGTGTAGCCTCCTCTCCGACCCTGCCTTCCGCCGCCGCTTCCGCATCCACCACACCACAGCCCTCCGCTCCTCGACTTCGTCAACGCGAACCAGGGCATCGCCTTCCAGACAGCCCTGGACACCCCCAACAGCCTTCCCGGCGGCCATTTCTCCCTCAAGCTCGACGACTGCTACAAGACCCTCGGATGGCGCCACGGCCTCACGCTCTTCTTCCTTTCGATCTTGATCCATGTCGTCGTGTGGGACCCGTCGCCGGCGTCCAGCACCGCCTGGCCGCCCCCCTCGATGTTTGTCTACCCATGGGCCATGGGCTGTCGAAGCATCAGAACAAAATGGACTCACGGGGGCTCGCACTGCCAGCGTCTCCAACTTCGCATCTTGCCTACTGGTTCGAGCCCACCGCCACTCCCCACAAGCGAGCTCTAGGGCGAGATGAGCAGCCGCCGCCGCCGCCACGCCCGCTCGCCGCCGGCCGCCGCCACGCCCGCTCGCCGCCGGCCGCGCCGCTGGACGACGACGACCTCCTCTCCGAGATCCTGCTCCGCCTCCCCCCGCAGCCCTCATCACTCCCGCGCGCATCCCTCGTCTGCAAGCGATGGCGCGGCCTCGTCTCCGACCCCGGCTTCTTCCGCCGCTTCCGCCTCCGCCACCGCCGCAACCCTCCTCTCCTCGGTTTCTTTGACAGATTTCTAGGTCAGAAGTTCCGGTCTACCCTGGAGGCCCCCAATTGTGTCCCTCCCGAGCGCTTCTCCTTGCAGCGCCACGAGGATGAAATGCGCTCCTTTTCCCATGGATGCCGCCATGGTCTCGTGCTCATCTCCCTTCTCAAGCGTCACCAGGTCCTGGTCTGGGATCCCGTCACCAGCGACCAGCACCGCATCCCCTTTCCCGCGCCGTTCGATACAGCCGTGGTCAACGCGGCGGTGCTTCGCGATGCGGGAGACGCCCAGCACTTCCAGGTGGTCTTGGCAGTGGCAGGCACCGATGCCGAACATCATAGACGAGCGCTCGCCTGTATTTACTCGTCAAAGACCGGCTTATGGGGGGATCTCGTCTCAACACCCATTCCATACCAGGCTAATGGGAACAGTATTCCCACATTGGTTTATACCGATGATGCTGTTCTGGATGGAGATTCCCTTTACTGGAAGCTTGTGGGGAATTTGATTGGAATTCTTGAGTTTGATCTGAAGAAGCAGACCCTAGCTGTGATACAGGTGCCAATGGACATCCTCAAAGGTAACAGCTTGCAGGTTATGCGGGCCGAGGGTGGTGGGCTTGGTTTCCTCTTCGTGTCAGACTCGGATTGCACCGCCCGGCTATGGAAGAGGAAGACCAATCGTCATGGTTTCGCTTCATGGGAGCTTGCAAGGAGTATTGATCTGGACAAGCTACTTTCCCTGGAACCAGAAGAGAAAGCCCCCCTAGTGATACTAGGGTATGCTGAACTGAATAATGTGGTGTTTCTGCAGACAGCTATCGGCGTCTTAATGGTCCAGCTTGAGTCACTGAAGTTCAAGAAGCTTTTTAAAACAATGACCTTTTCTCGCTATCATCCATTCGAAAGTGTCTACAGTGCAGGTAATAGCATGCCTTACATTGTGGGTACAACAAAACCAGGTTATTTTTTGATAATTGGCTGTTGAAATTATGTTCATATCATTTCTTGTTGAGCCAACAATTTTAGATAGTGTCATATCATTTGTTCCGTTTGCTGCTTGATGATCTCTGTATAGCGATGATGTTCTGTGGTACTCTGTTCTGAATACAAGATTGCCAAATTCTTTGTAGAATAATCGAACTAAATTTCATCATTGTCTGCCCATTGATAGGTGCAAGAATTGTATAATGGTAGTTTTAGTTCATACCTGCAGTGCCATTTTTCTTCAAGAGGAGATACACAATTTTTTGGAAGTTGACTACATGAAAAAACTGGCTCGAACCCTCTGGAGGCTTAAGCCTAGTTATATTTATTTCATTCTGTAGGCTATATCTGCTGATATTGCTAACAGTCTTAATAACCACTTGGTTTGAAAATTACGAATAATTGTTCATTTATCACTTCTAGGATTGTCCTCACTGGGGCAAGTCCATTTGTACCAGGAAAATAATAATAACCAGAGTTCATTTTTATCATTTTGTGCTAAATTTATCAAACTGAGTTATTTTTCTCGAAGTACAGCTATGGATTTATCTGTATACGTAGTTGATGCCTCCTTGTTTCTGTTTGTATTTCCTCCGATTGTCTTTGTGTTGTTTGTTTTGGGTTGGAGCCTAATCTCTCTTTTTGGTTTACTGATAACTGTTATTGGTTACAAAGTAGGGCTCTCATCATATGAGGTAGGAAATAGCAAAGCTTGATATCATATCATAAGAATAGGGGAGGAACTAAGCCACTAATACTTGGCGCCACATGACACATTGTTCGATTTCTTATGCTGTAGGAGCATGTATTACTGGTGGACACGCCAGGGCTGAGCTTATGCTCAATGCGTAAGATGATTGTCGGTTTACTAAAGCAGGTAAGCTTATCTTATACTGACATTCTGCCTCCTATCTACTGGTTGTGCTCTTTTGTTTGCCCTCCATTCTATCCGGCTCCTTTGCTTTCGGTTATACCTGTTTACTACTCTCCAAGTTCGTTTTGGTACTGTGGGCTCTTCTTTCTCTAGCTTCTCTCCATTGACTTATGACTTTGGACCCTTCCCCATTCCCTATTTGTGCCCCCTGAATATTGGAATGCTGTAATCTATGTTTTTAAGGCGACGCCTTACCGCCTTAGGGAGGGGGGGCGCTTTGGCGCCTAGGCGACGCCTAGGCGGGCGCTTTGGACGCCTAGGCGCCGATTTTCCAAAGCGGAGGGGGAGCGCTTCGACGCCTAGGCGTCGCCTAGGCGTCGCCTTAGGGACGCTTTAAAAACATAGGCTGTAATGCTAGGTAGTAATAAATGAAGCACTAGCCCCTTACTGTGCTTGGGGATATATTTCTGCTTTTGTTTACTCTCACGGAATTGCTTCAACTATTTTTTCCTGTGGTTATGGGTCTATCAAGTCCTAGTGTGATTTGCATGTTGTCTCGTCTATACAAGTACTCCCTCTGTAAAGAAATATAAGAGCATTTAGATCACTAAAGTAGTGGTTTAAACGCTCTTATATTTCTTTACGGAGGGAGTAATTGATAGCTAAAAACACATGAACATATCATTTCATAGTTCCTTTATTTATATGGATTTATTGTCAAGCCATTTCACATTGCTGGTTATTTTGGATTATTGTGATACCTGGTGAACAAATGATTGCGACAATACTTTGAAGAGTGTGTCTTCATTAAGTCTTATACTGCTGTTTATCGTTTTGCATGCAGTTATTCTAGTTTCATGGACGATTATTCTAGTGTTAGGTTGTTTTGTTAAACATTTTATTAGCATGCCACTTGCTGTCTACCGATTTGAATATATTGTAATTGGCCAGTGGCCAATATATGTAGTTATGCTTTGTGTGATGTGTAATTTTTTCAAATTTGGCCACCTGGACGTTTAATAGTCAATATCAAAATTACACGACTAATTCATCTTAAAAACTGCTTTAGTCATTAATAATATTTATGTCTTTTTACTAGCATTATTAATATAAGTGGCGGTGAAATTATTTCTTTGTCACAGATTACTTAAGGATATCTATATGGTTAGCAAAAAGAACGTTTTAGATAGGAAGATAGAGATGTGTTTTGTTAGGAAAGTTAGGATTCTATTGATAGCTTCAAGTTTAGCCTTCCCTGTAGATGTTAGGGCAACTAGTAACATTTAATCCTTGCACCCTGGTGGGCCAACCCTTCCTCCTTGGAGCTATACCCTCAACACTGTCACATTCATCGGTATTAGGACCCGTACCTATCTTAGCCTGTGACATGCTTGATGTTGTGCAGGGTAAAGAAAGAAGTATCAATTAGTAAGATGATATAAATGATCCCTTGCTTCTGGCTTGTACCACATAATTTTGTTGAAATTCTATTTGCTAGTGACTAGTTGAGCTCATACATTTCCAAAAAGTATGTATATGAGATAGGAGCTTTCCAACTCCATGAGCCCGTCATATACCCATTGTTCTCTTAGGCTCTACTCCAGACCAGTACCCCAAATACTTCTAATGTTAGAAGTTGAAGGTGTGCCATTATGTTACAAATGACCTATTAACTATTATTGTTCTCTCTTTCTAATGTTGTCTAATATAATAATATTGCTGAGATGGTTCACCTTTGGAACTCACAATTTCCACAGTGATGGTGAAACTAATGTTCACTGTTTCAATAGTTGTGAGAATAATTCCCAACGAATTTTCCCGTATTAATAGCAAAGAATTGTTTGACTAATGATATTTCTTGCTTTGCAGGTATCTATCTAGAGCTACATTCTGCTGTCTGAGATGCAGCAATGGGTTGTTTGGTGTTGATTCTTCCATTTTAGTGTGCAGCATGCACTGATTAACTGTGAAGTGCACTTGTAGGAATTGGTCCACCTATCTATTATCTAATTTCTGTAGACATTTGTCAGCTGGCTTGAAGGTTGAAGGCACAACGACTTGCTTCGGTTAATGAGTACTCACCATGTGGTTTCTTTAACCTGCTCTATGCTTTCCAAGCAAGCACGTTTTGGTGGGTTCACCTGTCAAATTATCTTTCATTGCATTTTAGTGGGCGCGCATGTGTTCGCGCTTTGATTTATCTTCCATGTTGCATCGGGCGTGGAGATTTTGGCACCTGGTTTCTGCCTATGTTCCAGCATGTGCCATCTTGTGTGTTCTGGTTGAATTTGTGTCTGATTCCGTTGCATCAGTCAGGCCTGGGAGTAGCTCCTGTGTGTTGAATTGTGCCTGCCTTATAGCATTGCTCTTTGCCAGTGCCTGCATAAATAGCTGGTGATTCAACCAGGGTCCGGTTTCATCGCTATATTTTGATTTTGGGCAAAGTTTGGATGAGCTATCTAACATTTGGATTCTTTTGAGAGTGTTTAAGATACAAGGCCTCACTTCCCAAAAAAGATGAATAATCTATCTGCTGTGATCAGGACAGCTATAGGCAATATTGGTTCGTTTGATGGTATGCTCTCTCAGACTGGGAAGCAAACCGCAAACAATTAGCAGCAGCTATGTAGAGGAAATTGAAAAATATTACACGTGATGGTTTCTGGTTTGTTCAAATGCAGTGCAGATTACTGTCAAGACCTAACTAGGATCTACGGGAAGGATCAAGTATTTGTGGACGAAAATTGTATTTTACTCTCTGAGATCCCCTTTTGTATTGATAAGTATAAGCTATATGAGTATGAGATAAGCCATTGAGGCAATCTTCTGGAGAAAGGAATGAATGACGATGACAGCCACACCCCGGCTGTAGTTATAGGGACAAATGACGATGACAGCCACACCCCGGCTGTAGTTATAGGGACAGCCTTTTAGCCGGCAAGACGGTGAAAGTAAACAGTAACGGTGGCTAACGGTATAGAAAAAGATCTAGGAGTGATCTTGATTGTTGATTGCGGCGAAGCTTTTTCTGAACATCTACAGTTAACTGAAACATGTCGATGCCTGACATTGCCCCCTTCTTGAGTTACGACGAGTCCTCACATCGTAGTTGATGCTGTTTGCCATGCTTGCATGGTTGTTTTGAAGAACTCTGGGAATGAATACTTGATAAATTCTGCATCTTTCTACGTAGCTTCTTCATCTGTCATGTTTTGCCACTGAATCAACCACTGTACCACTGGTAAGTTGCTGCGTGGTATCTGTCTGACTTGGAGAACTGCTGCTGGTCCCATCTTTAGTGTGCGGTCACTGTTAACCATTGGAAGCATTGGGCTAGGAATTGCCTTGCTGCCGATGTGCTTTTTAAGTTGACTGACATGAAAGACTGGATGAATCTGTACATCCTGAGGAAATTGGAGCTTGTATGTTGAGTTTCCCACCTTTTGAATGACGAGGAATGGACCATAATATTTGTTCTGAGGTTTAAGAGCATCTTTGAAGCCAAAAGCAGCCAATCAGTATGGGGCCATTTTTCAAATAGACCATATCTCCTACCGAAAAAGTTCTCTCCACTCCTTTTAGGTCTGCATACCTCTTCATCTTGTTTTGAGCTTTGCATAAATTATCCTTCAAGTGCTCCAACATCTATTGCTTGGAAGACAGAAAATCTTGTGCTTTCACATCATCAGGGCCAGGTATTGCTAGTTCTGAAATCAAGGGTGGGGGAAAACCATACAATGCTTGAAATGGAGATATTTTCAGAGCAGTGTGATATGTAGAGTTGTATTCAGCTAATGACAGCCAGGATAGCCACTTCTGGGGTTGATCAGTAGTCATGCATCTTAGATATGTTTCTAGACGCTGATTAACCCTCTTTGTTTGACCATCGGTTTGAGGGTGGTATAATGTACTGTACCTCAGTTCCACTTTTAAAGCAGCAAATATGTCCTTCCACAATTTGCTGGTGAAAATCCTATCCGTGTCAGATATGATCAACTTGGGGGGGGGCATGCAACCTAATGATGTTGTCCATAAAAGCTTGAGCCACAGACAAAACTGAGTAGGGGTGAGATAGTGGAATGAAATGACTGTATTTGGTAAATCTGTCTACTACCACCATAATCACATCCTTGCCATTGGACTTGGGTAACCCTTCCACAAAGTCCATTGTGATATGTTGTCAAGCCATGTCTGCCACAGGTAAAGGATCAAGCAATCCAGGTTGCAAACAAGTTTCATGCTTTGCTCTCTGACATATAGGGCAAGCAGCAATGAAATTCTCTACATCACTCTTTAGGCCCTGTGTGACGCCCCCGATTAAATCGTACACTAATCATGCACGCAAATGTGTACGATCAAGATCAGGGACTCACGGAAAGATATCACAACACAACTCTAAAAGTAAAAATAAGTCATACAAGCATCATAATACAAGCCAGGGGCCTCGAGGGCTCGAATACAAGTGCTCGATCATAGACAAGTCAGCGGAAGCAACAATACCTGAGTACAGACATAAGTTAAACAAGTTTGCCTTAAAAAGGCTAGCACAAACCGGGATACATATCGAAAGAGGCGCATGCCTCCTGCCTGGGATCCTCCTAAACTACTCCTGGTCGTCGTCAGCGGCCTGCACGTAGTAGTAGGCTCCTCCAGTGTAGTAGTCGTCGTCGATGGTGGCGTCTGGCTCCTGGGCTCCATCATCTGGTTGCGACAACCAGGAAGAAAGGAAAGGGGGGAAAGGGGGAGAAAAGCAACCGTGAGTACTCATCCAAAGTACTCGCAAGCAAGGATCTACACTACATAGGCATGGGTATATGTGTAAAGAGGCAATATCGATGGACTGAACTGCAGAATGCCAGAATAAGAGGGGGATAGCTAGTCCTATCGAAGACTACGCTTCTGGCAGCCTCCGTCTTGCAGCATGTAGAAGAGAGTAGATTGAAGTCCTCCAAGTAGCATCGCATAGCATAATCCTACC